GCCTGGGCTGGCTTTGAACCTCGATCCTCAGATCTCAGCCTCCTGAGTAGCTAGGATTACAGGCATGAGCCACCAGCACCCGGCTTTATTTTTATGATGAAAGCGGAGGTCTATACTTCTACTATAACTGACTTCATTTTGGCAGGATCTTCTAAATTTAAACTGTATAAAGTAATTACAAGGCTTGTACTAATACAACATGAAAATGAGTACTAATAAAATTAAGTGTAGCCAGGCGCCAGTACCGGTAGCTCAAACCTGTTATCCTAGCTACTCCGAAGGCTGAGATCTGAGGATTGCAGTTCAAAGCCAGCCTGGGCAGGAAAGACCATAAGACTCTTATCTCCAATAAAGCACTCAGAAAACCGGAAGTGGCACTGTGGCTCAAGTGGTAGAGTGCTAGCCTTGAGCTGAAGAGCGGGAACAGCACCCAATCCAGGCACAGAGTCAAATCCCATGACCGGAAAAACAAAACAATAATAATAATAAATAAAATTAAGTGTAACCACCGTGTGTGCTAACTTCATTGGTAAAACAGGAATAATGGTTCTTCCTTCATGAGCTCTGGAGGATTAAACTTAGATGAATTGTGTACATTGCTTAGCACTATGTCCAACACATAGTAAAACCTCCATAAACACATGCTGGTATTACGCCTTTTTTTTTTCAGGTCCTGTGGCTTGAACTTAGGACCTAGGTGTTGTCCCTGAGCTTCTTTTGCTCAGATAGTTCTCTACCAGTTGAACCACAGCTGCATTCTCAGTTTTTTTGGTAGTTTAATGGAGATAAGAATCTCACAGACTTTCCTTCCCAGGCTGGCTTCAAATCGCAATTCTCATAGCTCAGCCCCTTGAGTAGCTAGGATTACAGGCATGAGTCACTACACCCAGTGTATTATGCATTTTTACCTAAAGATGTTTGGGCCTGTAACTTACAAAAACTACAAACCTACTTTTAGAATAATTAGCAGGTCAAATACAATTTCTTTGGAGAAAGACAAAACAAAGCGAAACAAAAACAACCTGCTCCAATTCAGTATTTTCCATCTTCTTTTGGTGAAAAAAAAAATGACATCACTTTTTTTTTTTTTTTTTGGTGGGTCATGGGGCCTGAACTCTGGCCTGGGCGCTGTCCCTGAGCTCTTCAACTCAAGGCTAGGGCTCTATCACTTGAGCCATAGCATCACCTCTGTCTTTTTCTGCTTATGTGGTGCTGAGGAATCGAACCTGGGGCCTCATGCATGCAAGACAAGCACTCTACCACTGAGCCACCTTCCCAGCCCCCATCACTTTCTTTTAAGAAAAAAAAAAAGAGGGTTCAGAGTCTATATAGATAGGGCTAAATGTGACACGGAAATGGCCAAAACACACTACATTCTTAACAGTTCAGCTTAGTTGAAACGTTTAGGATTTGACAAAGTATTTCTAATTAATGCTCAAAAGAGGAGCTGGTTACAGAACAAACAATATCTAAAAACATTGTTTCATGTGAGACTTTTTACCTAAGGAGTCATTCATTTCAAGTACAAAGATACCCGAGGATGAGAAGAACACAAATGACTTGTGGAGTCCATTAGACCTGTGCTAAAGCACTGCTTAATAGAGGGCATAATCACTAGACAGCAGAGGAACAATGTTCTATTTTTACTGTTACCCTATCTCCATTTCTAACTCACCTCTAAAGATCACCAGCCCACAATAATGAAAATTACAATTAGCAACACACGGCTGTTTTAACCCCCATTGTTCACCAGTCTCATCCATGTATACCTGTGTATTTTCAGAAAACCAGTTTAAAAAATTTCGAAACCAAGACTTTTTCATCGTTCTCCAAAAATTACAATGAGCAAGTACAATATCCTCCAATTCAGTCGTCTAATGACACACGATCAAATAGAAATATGTTGGTCGAGCGCCCAGTAACACCGGAGAGACACCTTTCGTTCAGTGACAATATGACCAAACGCCACCGAAAGAGAGAGAGAAAAAAAAGGCTAAATATTTACCACTACCGACAGGAAAGTACTCAGATAACTAACCCACTTTTCCATTCCTAAAGTCAAATTCTCAATCTGGAGAGAGGTTTAACTGCGCTTAAACCCCTTTCAATCAAGGGGGGAAATCCACCGGCACACGAGCCTCGGGCAGCAGCCAGGGTGCCCGGCACCACCAACAGGGAGGAGGAGGATGAAACCGAGGTTACACCATCTCTCGGCTTCAGACTGGGGGGCGTGTCCCCCAAGGTTTTCGCTTGCTTTCTACCAGAACCACAGCCGGGAGCGGCGCAAGGAGAACCCAGAGACACACGGCACAGGCGGGGACCCCCCAAGATTTGGGGGGGAGGGGTGGGGAGGAAAAGAGCAAACTGTGAGGTGCTCCATAGGTGCAGAGGAAAACACGCTCGGTGCGGCGTCGGGGTGGGGGCGAGAGCCGGGCCATCCCGGGAAGCCCAGCGGGCAGCGCTCCGCCCCCCCCCGCTCACCCCTCGGCCCCAGCCCCCGGCACCCCACCCTCGGGGAGACCGGGACGCGCCCCGGGAGCATCCGAAGGTGCAAATCAGGTGGGGGAGACGGCGGGTCCCGAGGCTCCCGGGGTCTGGACGGGGCGGGAGGGAGGAATCCTCTGTACCCGTTGTTCTCCGCACAGCAGCAGCTCCGGGTAACTGAACTCCACGCAGCTCTCGTCCGTGGGGTCCTTGAGCTCCAGCTCCAGCCGCACCGTCTCAAAGTGGCTCAGTGCTAGAGCGCTTGTCTTGCATGCATGAGGCCCTGGGTTCAATTCCCTAGCACCACATAAGCAAAAAGAATAAAAACCAGAAGTGGTGCTGTGGCTCAAGTGGTGGAGCGCTAGCCTTGAGCTGAAGAGCTGAGGG